AATCTTTAGTTGGCAACCTTGTACTCTTATTTCACACATGATTTTAATGGGCTTGGTTATTTTTAGCTGCTGTCAGATCAGAAAGAGTTGCTACAGAGAGACATGCTGACTCAAAACCACTGGTTATTGGTCCCTGTGAAAAGTGATGTGAGGAAGAAGAGCTAGGCAAGGCAGATGCAAGATTCACTCTCAACCCTGCTGTGTTTGAAGATGGCTTGCCATATGTGTCGTAAAGTAGATGGAGCATCATGGGATTCCAGTATGGTGATTTGGACTTAGTAAGGTTTTACATTTAGTGTATTCTGCTTAGGAAGGCAGGGAGATAAGTGGCTTGCTACCTATGGTCTCGATGACTTTGCTCCTCAGGAAGGACCTATTTGGCGAGGGTTTGCTGTATAGCTAGCTACTCCCTTCAAGACTTTGTGACCCCAGTGTATGCCAATACCTAGAATAATGGCTGGCATTTCGTAAGCAATTGGTAAATATTTGTCGAATAAAGGATTCGACACAGAGGGGGAGATCTAGTTAACAGTGAGGCAACAAAGAATGGCTTCGAATCTTGTCACATTAACGGATATCCTTTTGTAACTGCTAGACAGCACTTCACATAATGGCCACAAAATTGTGTTTAGGTAAATGGCCTTGGAAGTGCAGCACGGTTCCCTAGGCTCTTGTTCCTGGCATACTTAATTTGAAAAGATTTTAATGAGTGTATTCTCATTTTTAGTCCTGCCACTTGTGAAATAATCAGTCTGTTGTTTGTTCACAGCCCATCTAGAAAACCTGTTTCTTGGCCCCAGACCCCACATATCATCCATCCATCCATCCATCCATCCATCCATCCATCCATCCATCCATCCATCTGTCCATCCATCCATCCATCCATCCATCCATCCATCCATCCATCCATCCATCCATCTGTCCATCCAGCAAACAAACATTTATGGAGCGCCTGCTGTGTGCCAGCTAGACACTGTGCTTTGGGAATGGAGGGAAGGAGAGGTGGTGCTCAGATGAACACAGCTGGACCTGCCCTCAGGGAGTGCTCAGTCTGAAGTCAGACAGGCAGCTGTGGTGCAGTGTGATAAGTGTATGGATAAAAGAAAGGGCCTGCCTGTGGGAACACAGAAGAGGGGGCACTTGCTGCTCTGGGGCAGAGCGTAGAGCTGGGGAGGCCACTGAAGGAGGGAATGTTTGAGCTAAGCCAGACGTGACAGTTTCAAGGGCTTCTAGGGGCTGCCTTGGGTGGATTGTCCTGGCGGGCAGTGCACCTGAGTTCTCTGGAGCCTTCTCAGTTGTGAGAGTGGATACTCTGCAAGCCGAAAGAAGTGAGAGATGGTGGGTTTAAGTCCTGTGGCCTTGACCACCCTACCCTTAAGCCACTGGGACCTCTGTTTTGAGTACCTCTCTATTCCAGCCCTCATAATTTTATCAGATTCTTTTTGGAGCTGTAAAGGGCCATTGGGAATTCTCTCTTCCAGCAAAAGAGATGAAAGAGCATACTTGGTGAGGGGAGGCAGGCAGAGGGAGGTGTTTATAGATGAATAAAAATGGTATTTCCTATCCGCCAGAGCCTGTCTGCCACCTCTAAGTCAGGCGAAGGGTCTGCTGATAGAGGATCCAAACTGGCTTGTCAGAAGGGACTCTCCACCCCTGCAAAAGTTCTTTTCCCAGCCTGTACCTTGAGTTCCTCCTAAATTAAGAGCCATTTTAGAAAGACGTCAGAAAAGATTTGGAATGACCTGTAGAGAAACTTTGGCTGACCTCCCTCATCTGCCATGTGCAGAACTGCGTTATTCCCCCTCTCCATGCCACACCCCCCGCCAGTTCTTCCTCGTGAGCATTAAAATTACATACCTGGATAGTGAGCCCTGAACCAAAATAGACTCAGGTGGGGAGCAGGTTGAATATAGGACCAGTTGAGTGTTGGTAGCCCTATATATTCAGGGCACCTTGTCCTATTAGCAGCTGCAGGAGAAGCTCAGGACACCATATGGATTTGGGTAAATTATGAATTGTTTCAGGTCGTAGTTAGTGGTACAATCTGAGACTAGAGCACGGGTCTCTTGTTTCCTCCTAGCCCAGTTCTTTCTGCCACACCCTGCTGTTCAAGCTTCACTCTAACTAGTTCCATCCCAGTAGGAAACCTGCTAATGAGTCATTGGCACCGTGATAATAAGTGTTGCATAGGGTCAATAGCGCTGGATCGTAATAGGAAAAAATATATCCAGAAGATGGATTGTTATGGGCTAGGAGGAAGAGTGCCAGAATGGTGATTTTTTTTTAAATTATATTTGCTAACAACTACCAAATCGGTGTTAAAAAAAAAAAAAAACAACAACAACCAAAAACAAAAACAAAAAAAACCTTGGGAAGAAAACCATCCACAGTTTCTCTATCCTAAAAGCTATTTTAGTTTTGGCAAATTTTCTGTTTTATCAAGCAGCCCATGTATAACATGTACGTATTTTTATGTAGTTGGAATTATAGCTGCTTCTTCCGTTGTAGTCTATTTATCTAATGTTGTCCTACGAATTTTCCTTATTTCTATCTCATCTTTATAATTATCCTTCATAACGGCCAAACAATGTTCCGAAGTTTTGGTGGCCCCAGTTCTGTGTCCCTGTGATTGGAGTTCAGTTGTTTCTTTTTGCCCACCCTCCCCTCTTATTTCTTCGATAATGCTATAGAGAACATCACTGCACACCGAGCCGTCTGTTTTCTGTCAAATGGTTGCCTTCAGAGAAGTATTTTCAGAAGAGGAAGAGTCTGAAGGAAAGAGGCGGAAATCTAGTGACATAGTTTTGATTTTTGTTTATACTTTTTGTCACCATTGTTTTGTGTATAACATATACAGAACTACAAAAAAAAAAAAAAAGTACTGTATAATGAATTACCAGAAGGCAGACGCCCTGGTACCACCACCCAGGTCCAGAGCTGGAACCCTGCCCGCCAGCCAGAAGTCTACCCTGAGACCCTCCCAGTCCCATGCCCTCCCGGCCCCAGGAGCAGCAACTACCCAGGCTTTATCATAACCGCCTCTCGACTCTCTTCCCAAGTGTGCATCCCGGAACATCGCAGTTTAGTTTTGCTTTTTTTTTAAAAAAAGTCTTTTAAATCCCTTTTAATCTGTAGGTGTCCCCTCCATCTCTTCTCTTCCCTATATTCTGTTTGTTGAAGAAATTGGGTCATGTGTCCTGAGGAGTTTTTAGAATTTCCCACAGGCTGGATCTCGCTCTCTCTGATTGCAGCCCCAGGTAGTTTAGAACATTCCTCTGCATTTCTTGCAGTCAGGCAGTTGGATCTAGTGCTTGAATCAGCCCCGGGCTTGATTTTTTTTTTTTTTTTCTTGAGGAGAGAGAGGCATGGGGAGCCAGATTCTGTCATGGATGGTAGAGTGTTTTTCATCAAGAAGTGCATGATGTTTGGTTGTCCCCTGTTGCAAGGCTGGCAGCCACTGCTGCCCAATACTTAAAGCCTACCATTCAGGAGAAGTTGCACATTCATGATACTGCAGTCCTATTATCCCTTCTTCATTTATTTGTTGGAACACTTCTATGAAGGAAAGCTCTGCTCCTTTGCTGTTTTTTTGTTTGTTTGTTTGTTTTGTTTTTTGCTTTGTTGAAATTCACGTACCATACAATTCATCTATCTGAAATGGTACAAATCCAGTGATAACCCTGCTCACTTAGCTGTCACCACACAAACTCTACATCCCTAAGCAACCACTACTCCAATTTCTATCTCTAGATTGACTTATTCTTCACATTTCATATGATATGTGGTCTTTTGTAACTGGCTTTTTTCACTTAGTGTAATGTTTTCGAGGTCCATCCACGTTCTAGCATGTGTGTCAGAACTTCATTCCTTTTAATGGCCAAATAATAGTTTGTTTTATACATAAGACCACAGTTTATTCATTCATCAATTGATAGACGTTTGGGTTGCTTTCACTTTGGGCCTATTATGAATAATGCTGCTGCGAACGTTTTTGTACAGCTTCTGTGTGAACATGATGTTTTCATGTTTCTCGAATATATCTCTACCTAGGAATGGAATTGCTGGGTCAAATGGTAACTATGTTTACCTGTTGGAGAAACTGTTAGGCTGTTTCCCAAAGTGGCTGCACAATTTACATTCTCATCAGAAGCATATGAGGGTTCCAATTTCTCCAACATTTGTCATTATCAGTCTTTTTTATTATAGCCATCCTAATGTGTGTGAAGTGGTATCTGATTGTGGTTTTGATTTTCATTTCCCTAATGAGTAATGATGTTGGGTGTCTTTTCATGTGCTAATTGGGCTTATGGAGAACTATCTATCTGTCAATCTGTCTCCTTTGTTTATTTTTAATTGAATATTTGCCTTTTTATTATTGAGTAGTGGTTCTTTATATATTCTGGATAGAAATCCCTTATCAGATATATGACTTGCAAAAAAAAATTTCTATTCTGAGTTGTCTTTGTACTTTCTTAATGTCTTGGTGTCCTTCGAAGCACAAGTTTTGAATTTTGATGCTGTCCAGTTCATTTTTTCTTTTGTAGCTTGTGCTTTTGGTGTCATATGTAAGAAACCATTGCCTAATCGAAGGCCAAGAAAATTTGTGCCTATGTTTTATCCTGAGAGTTTCATACTTTCAGCCTTACACTAGTCTTTGATCCATTTTGAGTTAATTTTTGTATATGCTGTCATCTACTCTTTGATTACCCAGTGCTACAGCTAAAGGCAAGATCAATGCTTGATTTTTTTTCCCTTCTTTATTTACCAGTTTCACAGTAAGGTGTTGTTTCCTATGAAGTTGCTGTTTGGCGTTTTTTATTTTTGTTTTGTGTCTTTGGGACCGCTTAGATCTAAGTGCGAGTTTGTATTATAGTAAAGCTAATTAAACATACACACATGCAATACGCAAAGAAAAGTGATTTTGTTTTGTTTTTAAAAATTTTTTTGTTGCTTATTCAGCTATCACATCCTAAATTTTCTTCTATCCAATTGCCTTCCAGAAACATGCCAAAGGCCAGGATTTGTTTGATCAGATCGTGTACCACTTGGACCTTGTGGAAACAGATTACTTTGGCCTCCAGTTCCTTGACTCTGCCCAGGTCACGGTATGTATTCCTTTGATTCATTTCAGGACTTTCAGATTGGCTTTTCATGTTAATCGCAGATCCACTGTTGCTAGAAATTGGTAGAAGAACATAGAAGTACAGCTGTGATGTTGTTGCCGTAACGAGCACTGGGATGGTGGTGAGGGTGCCTGCCTGTGTGCAGTGCATCCACGATGCCCCACCTTTGACAGCCAGGAGAGGAAGAACGTTTATGTCGTACGTGGGGATGCGTTAGGGAAGCATTCCCATGCATAAGGATGCAATATGGGCACATTTCTAGAGTAGGTAGAAATCATTATAGAAATTCTTTCAGTGGAGCTGCTTTTATTTTTAACCAGCAGAAGAGGCTTCACCACCATCTTCTTGTGAAGTAGTGCTGGGCGTAGAGAGCAGGCGCTTTGAGCACAGCTGAATCCCAGCCAGGCTTGGGGTGGGGTGGGCGGTCGGAGCTGGTCTTGGCATTGCTTGAGAACCATCTTGCAGGCTCCAGGAGGTTGTGTTAGGTCAGCAGAGACTTCCCTTGCTTTGCCTGAGACGGGACTTTTCCTAGCGTTGATGCTAGACTGAGTGAACTTTATGCAGCTCAGCATCAGTCATTTAGAAAGCAGGAATGACTTCGGAGTCTCCCTCCCCAACCAAATCTAGCTTTGGTTTTCAAAGGTGATTTATTCAACAGTCTAAAAATATTTACTGCGTGCCTCTTATGCACTGGGCCCCATTCTAAGCACTGTGGATAAAACGATGAACACATATATAACAGGTAGTAATAAATGTTAGGAAATATACAGCAGACTAAAGAGGAAGACAGAGGCAGAGGCAGTGCTGTTTTAGACAGTGAAAGGGTGCGTTCCCTGCTAGGAGATGCTTGAGCTAGAGACCTGGAGCTCCTTCATACATTCTTAAGCCTTTCTACCTGAAAGACACTTTTTAGATACTTCCTGGGGGGTGGGGGGGCAGGGGGGCATGTCACTGTTGTAAAGTGAAGATGCTCAAAATCGATGCCTGGGAGTTGAGCCTGTTTGAGAATGTTAGTGCGATGTCGAGTCCTCAGATGACATGGTAGAATCGGGACTTGAATACATCCTGGTTATAGTGCCTCCTGGGTGGACCCTGCCCCTGCTCCCAAAGGATGCCACCTCTTCACCTTCAGGACTTCCTGTCCGCTGACAGCCCATCCCCTCACCCCGCCCCACCCTCCATGTTGCTTTGAACACTTCAGCCACCTCCTCGAGTTAATGGTCCCCATCCCTTCTCCATCTCCCAGCTGCAGACTCTTAACTCCGATTTGCCAGGGCCCTGGGGAGGGGCAGACCAGCTCTTCTCTTTCCATCTCCCTGTCTAATTCTGCTTTCTTTGAGGTGGGGCCCCTCAGTGCCCTGTCCTCTGACCTCAGCACTGTCTTACTCCCTCAAGGCCTCTGGCAACCTCAAAAAGCTGCTGATCCTTAACAATATTCTGGACACTGTTTTCTCTCATTAAAGCGCTTCATCTGACCACACCTCACCCAGATTCACTGTGGGTCCTCTTAGACACCTCTTCACTCCAAGATCCGGAATTCTGTTAGTCCCCATTCCACGATAACTTGCCTTGATTCCATTTTTTACAGTCCCTCTAATCTGGGCTTGGCCCACAACGCTCTCCTCCTGTCTTATCCCGCCGTTTCCCAGCCTCTCCCTGCCTTAGCCTTCCTCCTGACTTGGCAAAGCCTCCGCTTTCTCACCTGTGTCTTCACTTGCCCTTTGATTCTCCTGCCCCCATGACTGTCCCCTGGCCTCCCCTTGACAGTCAGGCCCATCTGTTTCCTCTGCTGCTTCCAGGCTGCCAGGCATTGCTGGAGAGTCACAGGCTGTGCCTGTTGGCACCGGCACAGATCCCAGGTTCAGCAAAGTCCAAGCCCCCAAGCTGCTCTGGGAGCCTTGTTAGCCTCTAATGGACTTTTAAGTACCCCATGGTTCCTCTTCTGAATCTTGACCATAGACCTGTCATCCAGTCCCCACATTGTTCTCGCAGTTGGCCTCACCTCCTGCTTAGCTAGAAGACCGAGGTCACGTAGCTAAAGCTCGTTTTGTTTTCCCCTTGAGACAAAACAGCGAGTGCCGTTTTGGGAGGGAGTATGCCTGTTTCTCCAACATTTCCTCCTTGTACGTGCATCAACAGTTCCATTTCCAGTTGCTCCCTGAATGCCGAATTTAGGGCGCTCCTTTCTGTCTCCAGCATCTGACACTTGTCGGCCCTCCTCTTCCCTGAAACTCTTCTCCAGTCTGCCTTCTCCTGTGTATCTTAACCTGTGTAATACTTACGTGATATTTTTGATTTCAGGATTTCGACTTCAGCCCTGGACTGGGAGTCAGAACTGGCTGGCTCTGCCCTTGACTGGGCTTTGGATAAGCCATCTTTTCTTCCTCGGTCTCAGTTTCCTCATCTGTAAAATAGGGTTCTTGGACCTGTTCTCCCAAGAGCTCTTCCAGTTCTAATGTTCAGTGATTCTGAGTCTAAAGGAGGAGGTAGACGTGTCTCCCTCACCTATCTTTTCTACTTAGAAAGGAGATCTCTGTCATTTCTGTCATTACAGCCAGGCACTTGTTGCCCTAGTGGCATGTCCTCATCCCTAGGTGACCCTGTTCCGGCCATTCAGATTCCCAGAAAGCCAAAGATGTGACTCCACTATGAAAGACTTTGCTGTGAACCTCTGCTCACTTGGCTGCCAGGCTGTCCCGTTCGCTGGCGCCCTGTCACTGTGAGGCAGGAGGGATGTTCACGGCAGGATCCAGGCATCCTTCCCAGGCCAGTCACCTGCAGATGCTCACAGTCTGCAAGCTCTAATGCCTTTCCAGCATCCAGCTCTGTGAACATGACGTGCTTTCCTGACCCACAGAAGCAAGTGCAGGGTCCTCATCTGCCTGACTCGGAGGATCCAGGAGAGGTGCAGTGGCGGCAGCTCTCAGGAACCTTCTGCTCATCCGTGTGATTTAAAGCTGGGCTCCTTATAGGCTGGATGCTGATCATGCCCACATTTACCTCCGTGCCTTTACTTGTGCTGGTTCCCCTTCTGGAATACCCTTTCCCACTCCATTTCAACTTCTGGCCATGCTTTAAAATCATCTCAGGTGTTTAAAAAAAAAAAAAAAAAAAGACCATCTCAGGTGACATTCTGTCATGCAGCACGTCCTGAGCTCTCAAAGCGTTTTTCCTCCTTCGTGTAAACTTTTGAGCTTATTTTTCCTTCTGTGGCAGCTTGCTCATTTGCCCTGGGGTTCATTATTTGTGTATAGAAACAAAACCTTTCTGATTAGACCATCAGACTGAGAACTTCCTCTTCTTAATTCGGTAACTTAGTCTTTAGCCACAGAAAGGATGTTAGGAGCCATCTGTCAAACTTTTTCATCTTCTAGATGATGGACCCAAAGCCTTAGACCTTGGCAAGTCTCTTAGTGAGTAGCGCAGCTCAACTCAAACCCAGTTTTTACGATTTCAGGTTTAACTGCTCTTTTCAACATACTATGCTCTCGAGCCTTATGTTTCCTCGCTGTTCACTAGAGGTGATGACATCTATTTCAGGGAAATTGAAGGGCTCCGTGAGTTAAGAGAGGAGAAAGGGTTTTGTAATCTGACATGGATGTGAGTCTCCCTCCCCTAGCTGGGCAGGCTGAAGCGGGGACCGGAAGTCATCACAGTGCCCAGAGGTGACATGCTGAGAAGGTTAGCTGGAACTTGCTAAGCTACTTTGCCTATGGGAAAAACCTTAGTAAAAGCCAGAGCCCTTTGGGGGGGTTCTCTGCGATGGTTTCTGGGGTATCATTGATTTTCTGAGGGCCTAGTACAATGGGATCGGTGGCAGGAGACTGGATGTTGTGGCACATGTGTTTCTGGGGAGAGTGGGGTAAAGGAGGGGGACCTTGAGGGCACAGTCCACTTGGCCATTGGCTTATTACTTCATAATCGAGGCTCCCACAAGGTTTGACACCCTCAGCCAGCCCCTGACATGCACATCAGAGGGCTGGCAGGGGAGGGCTCTTGGCACAGCTCTCGTCGAAACCAACTTCTGTCTCAGCTTCCTGCAAAGCGCCAAGCCTGGTTTCCATAGTGCCCTGCCCAGACCTGAAGCAAGGCCAAAGTCTACTGGCATCGCCTATTTTTAGCAGTTGGGGCCGGGGCCTCCCGTTTCCTTTTCCACGTCAAAGCCGGAAGACCACCGGGAGCCCTCTCTGTAGATCTCACTTTTGCACAGCTCCAAGCAGGGGCATGGCTTCTACTATTATGTGCCAAAGCTTTTTTCTGAGAACAGGGGCTCTGGCCTGCACCCACCCGGCTTCCTCACCGCCTGGTCAGATAGCTGCTGTTTACTGAGCCAGGCATAGCGCAGTGAAGGTTTTTCATAACTCACGTTTCACATTCATCAGTGATCCGTAAAGCTGGCCAGAGAGCAGACCCATTTTACAAATGATGAAGCTGAGACTCAGAGATATTAGGAACCTTGTAAAGGTTAAAGTAAGCGACAGAGTTAGCATTCAGAACCTAGTCTCATTCCAAAGCCCAGGACTTTCCACTGGTTTCATTGCATGTGGTAATGTGACACATACGCAGTGAAAGAACATTCAGTCAGTAGCTGTTCAGCATACTTTGGCTTGGAGCTTACTCAGTGCCCAGCTTTGTGATGCAGAAGCGAGCTGGACACTGTCCCTGCCTGCCACATTCTGGTGGGGCAGCCAGACAAGTGGTCCTTGGAATAGAATGGGTTCAGCCCTCCACTTGGGGACCCTGGAGGAGGACTGCCTAAGTATCCTGGATGAGATGAAGAATGTATCAAGGGAAGGGCGAACATGGGGTGCGTCACCGAGGAGGAGAGGACCCTGCCAGGTAGAGGAGCGGCAGGGATTTGGGGCAGGGGTCATCACAACCCCACCAAGCAGGAGCCTCCCTCCCCATCTCTGGGGCAGGTATTCTAGAGGGTGGGTGGGGCCATTGTAAGTTCATTCCTAAGCCCCTCTGAAAAGGGAGCATTTTATAGTGATACGTTTTATAGCAGGGACTCCAGAAAAGGTGATTTTGGCTTTTCTCTCAAGACTTGTGAGATGTTTTCCTTCTGGTCTTTGCAGTGTGGAATCAGGTAGATGGATGATAAGAAACCCAGGGCTGCAAGGTGAGGGTGGCACAGTCATGGGGGCTGCAAGTGAGGCTGAGTGCCAGAGGGACTATCGAGGCTTCACCCCGATGATTGCCTGGGATGTCATCGCCTTTGCCACTTGTGCGGACACTCCTGAGTGTTCTTACCATTTCAGATGTGTCTGGAGGGGAAGTAGGAGAGTGTGAACACTAATAGTGGGATGTGTCACCATAAGAGAAAAAATTTAAAACCCTTCCTCCTATTGAAATGGTTCATTGCAGTTTCCACAGACACTCAGCTGAGTCTTCAGACAGGGTGTGAGGGGTTAGCTCAATGCACAGATGAGGAAACAGGCTCAGGCGGGGGCCTTGCTCATGGCCATACACCAGGTGAGTGGCAGAGCGGGGACTTAAACTCTCATCTTCTGTCTCCTTCCATTTTAGTATAAAGAAGTATGAAATAGCTCAAGAAATACCTCGGGCCACCTAGCCACCTGTTTCTGAATGTTGGAGGGGCAAGTGTTTTCCTGCCCATGTGCAAATATTGGTGCTGAATGGGAAAGGGGGGCCTGTCGATAAAGGGGCCTCTGCAGTTGTTATAGATGGATCCCGAGGGAAACTTCAAGTAGCTGGTATAAATGGATTTTAGGGCTTCATTCTGACAACAGCGGAGGAGAGAACCCCACAGAGAAGGGATCTCAACCAGTGAGCAGAGAAGGCACTTCAACCAGTGTGGTGTGGGGACCCAGAGTGTCAGACACTCGACACAGCCAGTGTTAGAATCCTGCCTCCTCCTCATGCGTGGTCCTGGGCACGTCATGCGCCCTCTCCATGGCCACTTTCATCTGCACTGAGGCCTGAGAAAGTGATGCCTATGAAATGGTCCAGTGTATGTTTTTTTCTAACACCACCAAACAATTAATTCTGATACCGTCTACCTGGAGATAGCTTCAGATCCCACAGGTTAAGGGCTCAGTCTCATAAGACACCTCCCAAGTCACACATATACTTCTCATGTCAGTTGCAAGATTTTCGACAGTGACATTCTACAGCCAGCCTTATGTGTGTCATAGTTCCAGAACTGATGTACTGTTAGAACAGATGGGCTTTGCCAGATCATCTCACATCTTGATTTATGAGAAGGGTTTGCCAAATGGACTTGGATGAGAAATTCAGATCGGAAACCACCTTTCTAACACCCGTTAGAGGATTTGAGTTAAATGTCTCGCCCTCCGAACTCAGAAATGCACCTGTCTGTTTCCAGTGTCTGCTTTAATGGTCTGTTAAGAGAGCTAGAACCATTTGCCTTGGCCTTTGCTGACAGGCGGCCTGGCTATATTTAGCCAGGATGCAGGTGAACATCCAAGACAGGTCCTACTGCTACAAGCCTCCAATGAGTGTAGGCTATGATGTACTAAATGCCATGTGGGGCCTTAGTGCCCGAGTATTTGTGAGATGTTCTTGTGGGATAAACTACGAGTGAGCAGAATCTGGTCAGCTCCTGCGGCTAAGGAGAAAGTTAGGTCATTTTGAACTGATTGGATACAAAATAGGTTTTATGATCTCTCCTTTTAGGATGGTAACTGGTTTTCTTACTGCCGCTGATGCTGGCAAGCAAACCTGATCCGAACCTGACAGAGTCAAAGAGCTTTTAAAATGGAGCTGTTTCTGGTTCCTTTGTCAGCTTAGCCAGCCCCAGCCTTTTCACAGCCCTCCATCCTGGCAGGTCCTGCTCTGGGCAGGGCTCTGGGGCTGGTTGCTGGGCAGGAAGGATGGAGGCCAGCCTACATGGATAAGGAAGCTTCTTTAGAAGTATGGCCAGAGGGAAAAAGCAGTCTGCTGTCCATAGGAACATCTAGCCATGCATGATCTGTCTGTGAGTTCACACAGGCCATAGACATTTGGCTAATAAACCCTGAAATCATTTGAAATTTTACGGAGCTCAAATGACAGTTTTAAGAAGGGGTTGTAGATGTTTCAAGATTCCCAAGATCATTAGGTGTTTTTTCTAACACCACCTGGGTAGGAGAGGATGTAGGAAAATTTCAGCACTAAATATTTAATGGGTACACTGAGCTAATGCTCTGAGATTCTGTTTAATGGATCTTGGCCGGGACCTGGGTATTCGTGAGTGTAATGCTCAGCCAAGGTTGAAGACCGCTGCTAAGGAAAAAACACAGATTGGACTTGGATACCTGATGAGAGCTTGAGAATAGAGGGAGAGGAATGGTGGTTTTAAACTTGTTCTATTCAAAATATGATAAGGAGACTTGAGGCAGGAAAAAAATGAGAAAAGATCCTTGAAACTATGAGCCTCTGGGGCTAATAAGCTTAGAAAGCTTGTAGCAGGGAGAACTTTCTTTGCCTGGTAATGGTGAATTCATTTGAAAGAAAAACAGGTTTAGTCATAGCCATTAGCATGATACTTATTTTGTCAGGAAAGTACGGATTAGAGTATTTTCATCAAGTCTGTATCTGTTCTCTTCCCAGGGGCTAAGGTCCAGCATTTTCAGCCTGGTCGAGAGCAGCAGTGAGACCTAATTCTAATGAGACAAATTGATGATCAAAAACTGCCTAATAGGCAAACGATGAGTGAATGAATAAATGGAAGTGCTAACCTTGCCCACCCCTATGAAAATAATATTCTCATTAAGAGTAAAAAATTAGGCAGCAAAGTAAAAAAGAAAAAAGTAAACAGTAAAAGCGAATATCCAAAAATAACCTCTCTAAATCCTTTTGTACATATCTTGTTGGAAAATAATAATTTTGTATAAAGGGGATCCTACCTGATTTTTTTTTTTTTTCATCTGAATTGTATTGTGGCTCTCTTGCCACATCAATAAATATAGGCCCACATCAATTTTAAAGGCTGAATAGTATTTCATGATATGGATGAGCCACTTTTTGATCTGTCTTTGTCGATGGGGATTTAGGTCATTTCTAATTCAAAGCTATTATCAGAGAAAGCATCCCATACATGCGTACATGCTGAGATATGCATCCAGCTGTGGTGATCTACTTCTCTTATGACACAGCTGCTTAGCCAGGGAGCGGTGATGACAAAAGCCCACGTTCTCCCACTGCACAGCTCACAGCTTATTGTATTATACATCATCTGTTACTTGCTTTGTATTTCCTTATCCCCCTCCACCCACGCAGTAATAATGGGCTCTATGGTGAGGAGTAAAGTACACTGTACTAATTTAGTCCTGTCCTTTCTCATTGTTAGAATGTGCCGAGTTTGGATTGCCTCTGAGAGTATATTGACAGTCAGCAGAATGGCCTCTGATTCTGAACAGCTAGTGAGAAACCCACTCTGGCTGTGTCGTCCCAGCCGTTACTCTAACAGTGAAGTTCCGACATGTATCGAATTTACGTGAAGTGATGGGGAAAGTTCCTCATTGCCTCATTTTTAAAAAAATTATACTGAGCATCTGTTTATTTCTCAAGAATCTAATAAGGGCCCACTGGGTGCCATGCTCTACGCTCAGCACAGGAAACACGGAAATGATGACGGGCACCAAAGACCCAGTCCTCCGGGGCTTAGGTTCACATGGAAGGGCTCACAGTGTAATGATCCTAAGTGCCCTTTTCCGTAGAAGTGAAGCTGCCGAGGCTCATCAGGACTGTTGCATCAACAACTTTGACATTATAGAGAAACTTTCTCGTATGAGGGAAATGGTTTTATGATTTCCTTGGATGGATAAGACTGAAGTGTTTTTGTTTTTGTTTTTTTCCTGATGAAAACTAGAGGAAGTTGACTTGCCCTCGTTGATCAGAGCAAAAATGTCTCAGGCAAACCCCTGCCTGTCTTTTCATCTTCAGTGTGGGTCATTTTCCTGGCCAAAGAACAGGGGTCATGAGTTTCAGTTTTATAAGTTTAGAGTTTGGGGCGACAGAACTACAAAACCAGTGTGTGATCATTGTGGCTCATAGTCTTTACTAGACTAATACAGGCTTGGAATAATTGGAGAAGACTGATTATGACTTGAGAAACTCAGAAGAGGCAATGGTGGCTCCACTGACTAGAAGGGACTTTACAGACCAATTACTTAAAGGGTTTTAAGTTCTTTCAGGCTCCTCTTTAAAAGCTTATCGAAGCTATGGGCCCTCTCCCCAAAAGAAAATGCACTTACGTGCATAAGCACAGATTTTTTTATATATATATAGATCATCTCGAGCAGTTTGCAGATTCCCCAGCCTAATAACTCATGATCTGGTCTCATATCTAGTTTTATAGGTAGAGTTCCTGGGGTTTATGGAGGAGGATAACTCTGAGGTCTGTATATTCTTGCTGATAAAATATTCTTAAAGAAGCATTTTCTTTCTTTCAGCACTGGCTGGATCATTCCAAACCCATAAAAAAACAGATGAAAAGTAAGTAAGCAGAATTTAGCCTGCTCATTTATTTCTTTTATCGGAAAGTAAACTCCTTTGCCAATGTTTTGAGGTGTTCGTTTTTCATTACTACTTAGTAGCATTTTTTAAATAGAGTCAATTTTAAGTGGATGATTTTTAATTTCTTAAGGCTGGCCAAGTGTCAGAGTTTAAAATTTGAACAAGAGTTTTTAGTAGATGTTAAAAAACAGACTATGCTCTCATTTGAAATCAGACACACCTGCCAATGAGAACTGATTAATCCGCTATTCAGAAACATGGCTTTATACTTATTACATTCACTTTCTAATGAATAATAAAGTGGACTCAGAGAATGGGGGAGCAGGAGGGATCTTTGACAGTTGGGTCCAGCTCTGATTTTATAGGTATAGTAAACCACGTTCCTTCACTGTGCATGTGTGTGTGGTGGGGGTGGGGGGGGATAATTTTAAAAAATGTAACACTTTAAGGTATTTTTACTGTGTATTTAGATTACAGAACACTTGGCTATTTATGTGTCATTTTCCTTTAGCTCTCTTAGTATTTTGTAAAAAGTTAGTAACAGTTTGGAGCACCATGGCAATCAGAGGTAAAAGTAAAATGTCAGCTCTTAGTAATTCATCTGGATGATTATGGTTTTCTTCCAGATTGAGATTGTTAGCTAAGCCATCTTTGCCAACACAACCCATTTTAGTTTTCCAAACTAGGATTGAAAATAACTTGCTAGCTTTGTATGAGCTGTTGCGCCCTCCCGTTGTCGTGGTGAATGTGATAATAGGTTTAATGTGTTTTTCCTTTTGTCCATTCTGTGATCTTCAAAATTGGGGAAAAACATCTTCAACTTTCCATCTCCAAATGTTTAGTTGGACCTGCTTATGCTTTGCACTTTCGAGTTAAATATTATTCTTCAGAACCGAACAACCTTCGTGAAGAGTTTACAAGGTAGGACAAAATGCAAAACAAGATATCCCCCCTGTCCCGCCCCCCGTAACACTTGCCTGACTTATAATTTGGGTCTTCTAAATTGTGAGTGTGTCTCCCTTTTCATCTGCTGTCTTTATGTTCTGAGCAAGAGTCGTTAGCACTTTGCCTGTGCTTCTCTTTATATTCTTTTGAAAGTCTATGCTTTGCTTAATTTGATCTTTCTCTTAGTGAATCAGAATGAAAAAAATTTTTTCGTCACATTTCTGTTTGGTTGGACCTTGGGTGGTCTGGTTAGTTGTTCTCTGGTACTTTTATTTTTGTCTCATATACAAAAGGGGAAGGCAGGTTTTGGAAGAGCATGTCTCAGTCCAAAATTGCCATCTTATTATTTTAAGAGACGGCAAAATATTCCCGTGATTGTTACAGTATCAAAGTTGTTAGACTTTACGTTATCTTTCAGCCCTACTGAGTTTCTTTTGATTGTGTGCCGATATCTCCAGACTTCAGAAGCCGTGTTGAAGCAAGAGAGACTTAAAAACCATTTTAAGTGAGGAGTTTCCCTCCAGTCACCCTTTTATCAGTGAGATTCTCTGCCCAGCCCTGCCTGATGTCCGCAGGACCTCCTTGTCCTTGTCCGTTTGATGGATAGTAGTGGTGACGTGTAAGCTGCTGGGTGGTCCATGGAGGTGACCACTAGCTTGGAGATGACTGCCTAAATAACACTTTAAAGACTGCTTATCCTCCTTCCCTCCACTGGGCTTCTGTAGGAATTGGAAGTTCTGGCCGTGTCAGCACTGTGTCCTCCTTCATGGGAGTCCTCAGTTTAGTGGTGGTGAAGTCCCTGTCGCAGGCAGGAACATTCTGGAATATACCAGGATCTTCAGCCCCCTCCTTTAATTTCTGGGTCACCCACATCCTCCTATATCCATTCCACAGAGAGTGACTGTCGGCATTATTTTCAAAGTTCAAACAAATTCAATTATCCCAGTGTTCCCCTTCAGAGTCCTTTATGAAACATGCCGCTGCTCGCTGTCATCAAAGCCAGTGATTCTTAACCAGGGTGGTGTGAATCAGAAACACCTGGGAAGCTTTTTGAACAAATCAGATTCCTGGGGACCACTCTTATGTGTGAGATTCTGATTCAGTAGGTGTGGAGTGTGACGTGGGCAGCTTTGGTTTTTGCAAAGCACTGTAAGCGGTTCTGATGCCCACATCCCCCTGGTAAAAAAAAAAAAAAAAAAAAAAAATCCCTTATTTATACCAAGATGATTTTTTTTTTTTTTTTACCAAAGTGAACCACACTTATGTTATTTGCTGCCTTCTTCCCCCATTACCCCTGTAGCCACCAGCTGCAGTCCAATTCCGGGATTCGTGTGTGTATGTGCTTGCACATGTACAGTTTTTTTAGAAAGAGTCTGTGGTTAAACTGCATCAGAAAAAAAAAAGTGGTAATTAAGCTGTTGCTAACTACAATCAGCTATAAACTCTGCAACCTTTCTGGACTCCCTGGTGGGGCTGGCTAGCCAGGTCCCGTGGCTGCACCTGCCCCGTCCAGTCGGACACATTGCATGCCTGTGTGTGATGTGTGAGCGCCGTGTGCTGTGCTTGTTCTCTTCTGGAGCTGTGAGGGGGTTGTGGAGGCCATTACTGGACTGTGCTGTGTTCCATGTTCCATCCTCCAAGTATCTTGCAAGTTCCGTACATACACTCACCTTCCTAGCTAGGTTCTGGGACGCCTTCCCAGAGATTCAGGAGGAGATGCTTCCACCAAAGTTCTCATTTGCGTTGGACTCCCTTCTTACAATTCTGGGCTGCGTGTGGGGCGGGGTTCATGATGGGAAGATGGGGATTGGAAGTGGCTGGAAAAGAGTTACCCTCTGTTGACTTTTGTATATGTTTGTCAGGTACCTGTTTGTTTTACAACTCAGGCATGACATTCTTTCAGGAAAGTAAGTACGTTTTTGTTCTCTTAACTGGGAATAATCATAGTATATTTCTAAGTAATTCAGTGTTTTGTTTTTTAACTCTCTTACCCTTGTTCCCTTTTCAAAATTTAAAAAAAAAAAAAAAATACACCAGGCATTGTGAAGTGAGTCTAATACTTGTATCACTGTCATCATCATCTTATTTTAAATGATTACTATATGGCTTGAAGCATTTCCAAGAGCATTTAATATCTTAAGCGATGTGTATTTGGGAATAATTCTCTCCTTGATCACATCACTGCCCCATTCATAATGGCTTTTGTTGTTTTTGCAAGCAAGATACGTTATTAGTATGTATACACTTACAAGTATTTGAATAGTCAGAATGTCTCATTCATTCACCATCTGCATTTAAGTAATGTAAAAAGGTTATGTTCTGATTCTGATAGAAAGAGGTTCAGACATCTCATCTCATTTCCTTTGCTCCAATTAAAAGTGGTTTTTAAATACTAGGCCTTTGGCTACACAATGATTGTTGAGCACAAGAAGCATTGGCACTAAAGTGGTTGATTTCACATGTAATATTAATGTATTTTAAAGATATGAAATTTAACAGTCATAGCTTTTACAGTTGTATCATTTTTCAGCATATGTATTGACTATTTTACATGAAAAACTAGACTGAATCTAAAAAGCAATACCATATATTGAAAAGAATACATTTTGTTTTTGAATATAATCTGAAGGAAATTTAAAATGTGATTTCCAAATTTGCTGTCTCTCAATAGAATATGTGCTATAAAAATCTTAGTGGAAGGTATACCATAGAACAAGTAGATTGTACAGTGTATACATTTGCCTTATTCAACCATGCAGTACAGATCTTTGACCGATGTGTGTATTATGAATGTGTGTATTTTTATCTCTCCCCACCCCTTTCACCATACTGTGCTCCTCATATTAAAGGCTTCTTAACTCTAGTAAATGTCTTCGGTTTGGAAAAATATTAATAGCAGCATCTTGCATCTGTATAGTGCTTGGCAGTTTACGGGCACTTCAGCCTGATGTACTAACTTCAAAGCAGAATGGTGTTCTGGTCTCAGCACTGCCTCCTGCCAGCTGGATGACCTTGGGCAAGACCCTTGAACACTAAGTTCCTCCTCTCTAAAGGGGGTTGGGGGAGCACTGGAGACACTCATCCTAAGGTTTTGCAAACTCCATGCATTGACCAAATTGGATGATATGTATGAAAAGGCTTTGAAAACTATGAAGTGCTATAACAATGTATGTCATTAGTATTTTTCTAACAAAATTTGTAATATTAAGTATGAGTGAGGTCCTGATTTGTAGTAGTTATAATACACTTCTATGGCTGTGCCTCAGGTATACTTATTAGAATGCTTGAGTATATCCAGCTGTCCTGGTAATGTTAGATATTGTGTCTGTTCATTTTTATATTATGACCTCATTTCAAAAAAGATTTAAGGCATCTTGAAAAGACCCATGTACTATATAAGATGAAATAAGTTTAAAAATAATGCAAAGAGAAGGCTTTTCATTCTATTTCCCAAACTTCCCCATTTTTGTGAAATTTGGTAAAATTGCTCACAGGGTTAATAGAAATTCTACTTAGATTGGGTTATTGTACCATAAGATGAGAACTGACTTTGGGATTATGTAGTGTAAGCCAATTTGTTTGCATTCTTTAATGTGGGCAGCAAAAATAGAAACCACCAAGAAAATAATTATCTAACTATCACTACCTTTTGAAAAAATGACTTTAATGACATTTTGTATGGTTATTGGTATTAAGGTTCATATATAAAATTAATTTTTCTTTTTTCTTTTTTTTCAAGATTGAAATGCCCATATGAAACAGCTGTGGAATTAGCTGCTCTCTGTCTACAAGGTACATTATTATTCTTTAGTGGTAATTAGCGTTTTAATGTTATTGCTTTCATTTCAACAAATGAGTGACTGCTGGGTACCAGGCACAGTGCTCTACTTTGGGGATATGGATGAATATAATATGGTCTCCATCCTCAAATGACTTGCAGTCCCACGAGGACTACATGGCAGCACCACATACTCTGGATGTGCAGAGTACAGTGAAGATCCTTCAGGAATAGAGACCCATGGACAGCTAGGAAGAGAAAGGCCTGTGGGGGGATAAGTAGATAAAAAGAATCAAAGGAACCAAGGTACAAAGTATGTGCAGAGAGGTACCAGCGGTTGAGTGGTGTTGGAAGGTGAAGTTCAAGAAGCTGGATAGGTGGCACCTTGGACCCCATTTAAAGAGCATGGATTTCATGCTGTCAGCAATGGTGCCTTTGAAGGCTCTTAAGAGGTAGGCAGGCCTGGTCAGAAGCGCTTTTAAGAAAGGCTCCACTGACTGTGATGGGGAGAAGGGACTAGAGCAAGACCAAGATTGTGGCTAGGGGTGCAGTGAGGAGCCGTTGCTGTAATAAAAAGAAACTGACTAGGGCTGGGAGTTACACACACCCCAAAAAACAGCATTGGTGGTACAAGGAGAAGGACCTGATCATTAGACTTAAGACTTCAGAGAGGAGTCAGAGGTGACTTGTGGGCTGCTAACAAGAATAAGTGACAGAATGGATAGAAGAGTTGGGAGACATCTTTGTACGGTCCATTAACTGAGCGGTAGCTTTTTGAGTATGCAAATCTGGCTCCATGAGAGAGGTCAGGCCAGAAGCATTGACGGGGGATCATCAGCATGTGGGCGGGAATTAGATGGCGAGGGGTGTGCCTGCATGACTGTCAACGTTGACTGTTCCATCCATATGATGCACTTGTGGAATTTAAAATGCACAAGAAACATACTTGCCAAAGTCTCCAGCACTAATTAAGAGGATACTAATATGTAACTGCACATAAAGAATTTCGTCATTACATCAGATAGACATATGCCGTGAATTCGTTTACCAGGATGTTCATTGGCCTCCACAGAATAATGAATTATGATATATTCATTCATAATTACTAATGATTTTTGAATCATTAGTAATTTGAATCATAATAAGATTTGGCTTCTCACTTTTGTTATTTACCAGTTTTTGAAAGTTGATATAAGTCTTTTCAAATTATAAAATTAGTACACTCTTATTATAGAATATCAGAACAATAGCACAACAGACAACCAGACAGAAGGAAGTTGCCCACTGTCCTATGAGCCACAGACAACCCAAGTTTCTATGTATGAATTTTGAATGGAGTCTTTAAAGTGTAATTCTATTCAGAGTCATATACAAATTTTTTGTATGATTTTCTACTTGGTATTTTCAGTACACATATTTTCTTATATTTTTACTCACAAAGATGATTTTCAATGACTTCAGGCTACTTCCGTTCACTGATCCTTCCATTCCTTAGTCAGTTTTAGTTCTTATCTTCTAGGGGGGCTTGTTATATAGTAGGTGCTCAGTAAGTGAAGAACGAATTGAATGGAGTAGGAGAGGCACCCAAGAACTTTGGTTGAATGGGAAGCCTGTCCGTGAGGTTTGAAGGCACCGGTGGTAGAGGTGATGATATTGTTATCTGTAACTGTCTGTGCCAAATACAAAGCTAAGTGCTTCACATTCATATATTGCTAATACAGCAGTCCTTGTGGTGAGTGCCATAAGGATGTGTAATGGCTCAGGGAACTTGGAAATGGACTGTCCAATTTGGCCACGTACAGATTCCCCCAGCTTGTCAAAGAGCACCCACCCTAGAGTTTCTGAGTCTCATACCACCAGGCAATACATGTCAGGGTATAGTTAATGGGATGAAAGCATCCATGTCAGACCTGGGGCCCCCAATCCAGTGGAGAGGTTTCTTCCTAAGGCCATTGGCACAACATGCCAACCCCCATGTTGTCTTGAATGATTAGAGGACAAGGCTACCCAGGTTACCATATCACACCCCGTGTGATGAAGGCATTATCACACTCATAAATTCCAGCTGTAGTAGAGCCATATGTTTTGCCCCAGAGCCAAAGCAGACAAGAATATCCACTGTCTGTGAGCCCTTCCGGAAGAAATTACCCATTTGAGTTAGAAAATTACATTAATGTAATTTAAGATGGGGCGCAGCGATGTGTGTGTGTCATAATGAGACCTCCAGGGGACCTTGGTGCACGCTCAAATTTGAAAACCACTGTCATAGATCAGTGCTTTTCAAAGTAATGTGTGCACCAGCCACCTGGGCATCTTAAGAAAAAGCAGGTTTTGCTTCATGAATTCTGGGGTTGAGCCTGAGATTCTGCATTGTGAGAAGGCTTCTTGGTGACACTGATGCTGCTGATCCGTGGACCTCACCCACCCACCCCCCTTTGTGTAGCAAGGTATTAGAGGGACCTCTGGAGGGTCCCTTTTCATCCTGGGTTCTGCTTCCTGAGCTGCAGAGGTGGGGCCGGGGCAGGGAGAGTGGATTTTCTTATTTGTGTCCTGGAAGGATGGGGGCTCCTGTGTCCTCAGGCCCTCCATTCTGTGGGGGGCTTGGCGAGAGCAAGGATGTGAGCAAGGATGCGCAGTTCATTTGGGGCTTTTTGCTGGGATTGCCCGCGTGGCTGCTCCGCCTTGCTGCATGCCCTGCTCCCTCCCAGGTTCTGCCTGAGTTGCTGCAGTTGCTCCTGCAGCCTTCTCACCCCCTCCCCTCTCCCTCCCTCCCTCTCTCCCTCCCATCGTATTTTCCCCCTGGATTCTGCATGTACTGAATTCTCGATTGGTCCTCTCCAGCACTACAGACCCTGGAGTGCTGCCTGGACCCACCCTTAAAAAGAGCTTTGTTCAATGGATGTTTCCGGGCAGGTCCTCAGTCCTTGCAGTTGCATTTTATTGCACATTCAGGCTCTACCACTTCGTGGGGGAAATATAATCAGGGCCTCCCTGGATAGGGGAAATAGTCGGGAGAGAGACAGTGATAACTAAGATGATGGTGTTTCGGCCAATGGGAATGATTCTTGGTGATTCTGATGTACGTGTAGGTACAGAGTGGGGGTTAGATCCTCCTGAAAAGAGGGAGTTATACATGAGGGGTACCTGTGCTTTCTGACCATGCAAAATGCCTTTGGACCTGATTGCAGCGATGACGAAAAGCACTCAATGTCTCCTGTTTTTCTCCCTCTTATGAAACTTGCAGCGGAGCTTGGGGAGTGTGAGCTTCCAGAACACACACCAGAGCTTGTGTCTGAGTTTCGGTTCATTCCAAATCAGACAGAAGCGATGGAATTTGATATCTTCCAGAGATGGAATGAGTGCAGGTCCCTTGATGCTACCCGCTAGCATTCTCATATCTTTATTTGTAATATGTAAGCGTTTGCCAGATTCTTTGACCTACTGTAAAATTGCAGCTCTATCGCCTTACCTCTCTCCTGTGCTTCAGTCCTGTTTTTCCAAAGGCCCTTAGGACGTCTCTCTTTCCAGAGACGTACAGTGAGAACCAAAGCGTACTCCTGTTTCTGAATCACAGAGCCTGGTCCTGACTGGCTCGTTGCTGCCTGGGAGCCACTGCTCTCCTGGCCTCCCAAAGAAAGCAGGAGATGCTGCCTCGATATAGTCCACATACCTGGGTCTCTGTCCATGGTCTGAACTTCCGGAGTAAACCTTTTAGAAATACCATGTCGTCCTCTATAGGGACACTCGTGTTTGAGACCATGTGTTGTGTAGCATTGTATGTTAGGACATGTGGTCGCCACAGCTAAATCCAGCCCTGTCATTTATCCTTTGGCTTTTCCCTCTTTTCCCCCGTAGACACCCCAGTCTAACACTTTTATGCCGGGACTACTGGTGCCGCCTCCACTCACAGGTCTCCCAGACTTTAGCCTCTCGTCCCTCCCAGCCCATCTTCCCCAAAACTCTGCCTGTTCCAAGTCGTTCTTGGACCCAGAAACTTAGCTCGGTTTCCCGTCGTCCCTCAGTCATTCCGAAGGATGTACGACTTCTTCGAAAATGGAAAGTGACATTAGCGCATTCTTGTATCACATCGAAATAACATAGGAACGTGTAGCTGCAGAGTCATCTTGCCGCACGCCCTGCACACACCACCCCCCTGCAGGCAGCCATTGTTAGCTGTCAGTGGTACATCCGTGCAGCCTTTTTTTTTTTTTTTTAACATAGACATACCTGCATCTACACGCCGAAAAATTGTTTCCATAAATGTTCATATTTCATAAACAGAACTCTGCCATCTTTGTTCAATTAAGGGTCTGTTCTGGAGGTCTTTCCATGTTAATATAAATCGGGGTCCCCCATTCCTTTAATCGCTGCATAAAATCTCTTTGTGTGGCTGTGCCCTTCAGAATGCTATGAGTGTACGAGTTTCAGTTTACATGTATTTCCATTGGTTTTTCTAAGGGGAAAGAGCCCTGCCCAGGCGGAACTCTCCTATCTGAATAAAGCGAAGTGGCTGGAAATGTATGGGGTAGACATGCACGTTGTCAGGGTAAGCACTGTGTGTGTTTAAGTAATTGGGTCTCGCTGTGACTGAACAGTGTGTAAACATTGCGCAAACAAAGTAACATGGTGAGCAAACTGTTTTGCATTCTGCTCTGTGACGACCTGTTAGAACCTTCTACCGATTGTCACTTCGTTTATTTGTAGGGAAGAGATGGCTGTGAATATTCTCTTGGACTGACCCCGACAGGCATATTAATCTTTGAAGGAGCTAACAAAATAGGCTTATTCTTTTGGTAATTTAGTTTTGTCTAATATTAAAAATGTCTTTTCCTATTTTGTGGTGGAATTATATGTGATGGCTGATTATTGAGGGGTATTTGCAACACCCAGATTCATTTTAAAAACACACCGTTCTCTTGTATTTGTGGGTGTCTGGCAATGGCAATGAAACTTCTGGATATAATCACACTTAAATGAATGAATGATTTCTTTAGCAAATCTAAGCTTTAAAAGTAGAGAGGAATCTGCTGTCTGATGTGTGGCTAGTGTTCCTGCAGATTGTGCCGTTAAAACGTTTTCTCTCCAACCAGGCCTAAAATTACCAAAATGGATTTTAAGAAGAGCAAACTGACACTGGTGGTGGTGGAGGATGACGACCAGGTAAGCCTTGCGCCAGGTTCCCCGCCTTGCTGTGAGTAGCCCTTCGTCGCTGTCGCGAGCGCGCATGTAAACGGGCGCCCTGTGCTTCGCCGGTCAGGGCCGGGAGCAGGAGCACACGTTCGTCTTCCGGCTGGACAGCGCCAGGACCTGCAAGCACCTCTGGAAGTGCGCCGTGGAGCATCACGCGTTCTTCCGCCTGCGGACGCCGGGAAACAGCAAATCCAATAGGTCCGACTTTATCAGGCTGGGGTCTCGCTTCAGATTCAGGTAGGCGCCGTTTTTCGTGACGCGGTCACGAGTTCCGAAGGAGGAGGGTAGCTGCGATGGGTTTTTTGGGCAATGGAGCCGTGGGTCTGTGTCCAGACGTCCCGTCGCTGTTTCTTTCTTAAGATCTGACCTTTAGTCGAGTCACGGAAGCTCTTTTTGGCCTCTATTCTCCTTGATGAAATAAATGGGCACGATAATAATAAAATTATTAATAGCTGACATTAGACACTAGCCACATGTGGCTATTTAGATTCATTAATATCAAAGACATTTTTAAATGTAGTTTCTTAGTCTCGCTAACCACATTTCAAGTGTCCAGTACACACGAGGCAGGCTGCTGTCATGGTGGCCAGATCAGACAGAACAGAAGCATCGTTGTGGAAAGCTTGACCCACCCCACTGCACTAGAGAGAGCTTTTCGTGTACCATCTCGATCCTCACAGAAGATAGGTCCTCTGATTGTCCTCATTTGACAGATAAGGAAACTAGAGCCATGGGATTACATAATCTGCCCAAAGTCACAGCCAGTTCATGGTCGAGCCAAGGTTCAACCCCAGGCAGGCTGGGTCTTACATTTTAACCACTATTCTACTGTGTTTCACATGCCAATGTCAAGAAACTTGGTGACATTTAAGAATGAGAGCAGATGTCAACACATGTGTGAGTGATCCAGGGTAGGCTCAATAAATATTTGGGCCTGAAAATACAGAGAATGTCTTCTGATATATTTTTATGTATAACTCTGAGACCATGTCTCTCAAAGTACATGAAAATTCCCTGGTGTTTGTTAAAAATGAAGATTTATGACCTCATCTAAGGCCTTGGTAACTAGAATTTTTGGGTGCCCACATGTGCATGTACGAATAAGGCCCGAGAATGTGCATTTTAAATTCACTCCCAAAGTTGATTTCTGAGGCACGTTTACAGATCTGAGAATAGCTGTTGCAAGATCTAAGCCTTCACACGTTTCATAACCTCTACCCACACATGGCATGTCCTTGAACTCTGTTTAAAATGCCAAAAAAAATCTGCTCATTTCAAATTTATCTACTGTGCAAGGAAATGGCTGTGCACTTGTGTTTCAAGAATTATTTTGTCTGAATGTATTTTTAAATACTGCAAGGGAGGGGAAAAAAAACAAGTCCTTTCTGGGAATCGACTCAGGGTTCTGTGGAGGATGAAGAATGTCAGAACTACAAAGGTTAGCGGAGACATCGCACGGGTATGCTGTCTGCTCTAGTCAGAGTGAGGAGGGAAGGATTGTGTGGGTGGTTGCCAAGGCAGGTTTTTCTGTCCTAGGAGGAAACTCCCCCAGGATTTGGCCCAGACCAGGCTTCCTTCTGCTCCTTGAGGAGAAGCGTAAGAAGGAAGGGGAATTTGGAGTTGAGGTTGCCCCTTTGAGGCATTTAGGGCAGGTGGCAAGTGGCTCCTTCCATGTGATAAATCATAAGCCGAGTGTGGCTGGAATGAAGCAGTGACAGATCAGACAAAAACAGCGTGCCTCCTGGAAGCTGCAGCTGGGCAGCACGTTGGTCGAAACCCAGAAAGCCTTGGTGAAATAAACAATGTTTCCCTTGGCATAGCAAGGAAAGCCAGGGTTTAGTTAAGTGATCATTGATGACAGATTTTTAAGAGATTTAAATGTGTACATAATGTGTTTTAGGAAAGGTTTTTATATGGGCGAATCAGTGTTCTCTTAGGCACATATTCTAAGTGCTCGAACCTGCCCGGTTTGTGCAGCCAAGTGGCTGGAACCTAAATTGCAGGTTTTATTTGTCCTTTGATGGAAATACCTGCCCCTATGATAACAGCCCGGATTTGGCAAAGGTGATTTTATTCCCCAATGAAAGATGAAATTTCATGTGTGTCTTTACCAAACAAACCACGATAAGTTGAAATTGACATAGGAGCTCTTGGAAATAAAAGTTCGCTTTCAAATATGTATAATGTACTGTTATTCTGATATTAGTAACATGCAAAAAATATTTACTTTCCAGTGGGCGGACGGAATATCAAGCTACCCACGGCGCCCGGTTACGAAGAACCAGCACCTTTGAGAGGAAGCCTAGTAAACGCTATCCATCCCGGAGGCATTCGACATTCAAAGGTTGTGTGTTTTTCATTCGGCCTTAGAATTTTACATTATGGTTTAGTTGGCTTCATCCCCAAGGACCTTGGTAAAGCAGATTTTGAAGGAACTTCCTACTGTTCTGCTCTGTCATTCCAAACTTTTTATTTTTATTAATTTTTAACATTTATTTTTAATTATAGTTGACATATAATACTATATTAGCTTCAGGTGTACAACATGGCAATTCCGCATTTATATACCTTACAAAGCGATCACTGCCGTATAAGGCTCGTAACAATCTGTCACCATACAGAGTTATTACGATCTTATTGACTATATTTCCTATGCTATACATTACATTCCTATGACTTATAACTAGAAATTTATACTTCTTAATACCTTTCCCCTTTTCCACCCATCCACCATCCCCTCCCTTCTGGCAACCATCAGTTCTCTGTATCTCTGAGTTTTCCAAAGCCTTTTTTACAAAACCCAAAAACCTGGAGGATGCTTTTGATGTGAATTGGGCCACTTCTGCCATCTGCTGTCCTTAGTCTTTCCCATTGGATATGTTCAATTTCTTCTCCCCCCTTTTCACTTTTCTTCTGTACCTGTTCATTTCTTTTGGACCAGGGACCTCAGGAATATCATAGGCAAACGCCTTTCTTACCTATGGAAGATGATACTGTGTCTTAGAGGGAAAAACAGTCCCTTCTTTCTTCCGTCTTACAATTTCAAGCTAGGACATCAGTCTCATGCTAACCAGAATTTTGACCACACACAAGCAGATGTTAAATATCCAGACTCAGGTCCCATGGGCAGTCCAAACACACCCTGCCCTTAAATTTAGCCTGGCCCTGGATGCCTGCCCGCCCACCCGCCTCCCCGGAGCTCTCCGAGCCTTGTCTGTCATTTACTGCAGTGGCCTTACCCGTGCGAGGCCGGTATTCAGTACAGATTCAGTCAGTGAATGAACAGGCCAGGGTCCTTTTTGTTGAAACTCAGCCTCCAGATCCCATCTCCTAGCTCTCCTCTGTCCACACCTGATTTCTTCCCCATTCAGGACACCCAGCTTAGTACTAACTTGTGGGCTCTTTTATAGCAGGACCTCTGCCCTCTCAACTCCCTTCGTCCACTCCTATATATTGTTTACTCATAGTGGCCATTCCATATTTTTTTTTTGTATAATACCTATAGCTTACCCCTTCTAGAATCTTGAACCACGTGTTTCCCACACTGTCCCTCTTTTATGAACCAATGGTTCATAGCAGTAGCCTGGCAGCCAGAAATTCTCTAAAGTCACTCTTCGCTGCATTAGTGGAGAAAAAAAATGCCTGGAGTCCAGGAAATGTGGCCTCATCTTCAAGAAAGACCAAAGGATGAGAGGATGAGGCATGCCCAGAGTAGGGTGCCAGGTTGGTGAAGGGGGATTGATTACAAGAACTGGGAGCAACCAAGTCTCGGGGTGGAGATGGTGGGGGGTTAGCACTCTCTCTGTCCCAAGAGCTGTGTTACCTCCCTGACAAGCATTATGCTTTTGTGTGTGGTCCGCTGGGTCAGAGGTGTCCAGAAACACCTCAGTATGAGGAAGAGCTTTAACAGGGCTGTCCAAAGATGGTGCTATCTCAAAATAGTAGTGGGTCCCTAGTCCCTGGAGGTGCGTGTAGGCACAAAGGGAACGACCGCTTGGTGTGGCTGCCAGAGGGAGGAGGGGGCATCCTATGGCTTCATCCCATGTGATAGCTTTAGGGCTCTTCCAGGCTCCAGGTTCTATGCTTCCCTTTCCCTTTCCTTCCTGGTCTCCATCCTCTTTTCCTCCTTCATTTTACTGACATTTTCTCCAGCCAGAGTTCTGGCATCTTTGTGAGCTTTTAATGGTTTTCTGTGTTGCATCCTTTTTAAAATGAAATGGAGTCTAGATAAATAAGCTCTCTCTCTCTCCATGGCCCCTTCCGCAAACTCGCACCCCTGCCCTGGTCAGCAGTGGCTGCCCTGAGTTCCCCAGTGGACTCATGCTTGTATTTCATCTTTATCCCTTTCTGCCTCTCTGTCTCTGTGTTAGGACTGAGAGCAGGGGCTGCGTCTCTCATCTCTGCACCCTAGAGGCCCAGCCTTGGGAACGTGCTCAGTGACCTGCTGCTGAGTGCGAGGGCAGGGTACAGAGGAAAAGCCATTTACTTGTCCTCTAGAAAGCAGAAGTAGCTAAGGTGAAGATTCTGCCTCCTGGAGTTGAGGCTGCGCTTAGAACTGTCTTTCCTGGTCATTGTCATCACATGGTAAAAGTGATAAAGCTCTCTAAGATGTCATTACTCTCTGTTTTTCTTTTAAAGCGAGCAACCCAGTGATAGCAGCTCAGCTCTGGTAAGTGCCCCCAGGCTCTGGGGTACAGCTCTTTTCTCTAATTATTATATTTACTTTCAATGTTGACTTTTTCTTTAATATAATTAAATTACCAGGTGAGTCTCCCGATTTTTTTTTTTTTTCCTCCTGCCTGGCTATACCATCCCCCTGGCTTTCAATAAGTACACAATAGAATGTTCTAAGACAGTTTGTTTTTTTTAGAAAACACAGCTGCCTTGTTTGAGTAGCTCTGTGCTTTATTTATCATAACAGTGGGTGATAAAGGTGATAGGAATGTGTACAGCTCACAGCGCTCATGGCGTTGCAGGCATCGATGAGAAAGAAGGGCCGTGCTCTTGAGCCGAAGCTGTAAGAGCAATGGCAGGATTCGCTTAGTGATGGGCAGCTCTTACAGTCATACGATGTAGAGGGCCTTGATTAAACACCTTTCTTAAAATTCCTGCAGGAAAAAGAACTTGTCACAAGACTAAAACTCAGCACATTTTTTTCTGGGATGTGCCAGATAGTAAATATTTTAGACTTTGCAGGCTGTACAGTCTCTTTCAGTGCTCTGTCGCTGGAGTGCGAAAGCCACCATAGACAATATGTAAACGAAGGAACATGGCTGTGTGCCAAACTCTTGACTCAGAATCGCAGGCAGGCCAGGTTTGGCCCACGGGGAGTGGTCTGAGGCCGCTTCCCTAGTGCAGGTGTTCTGGATCTTTCCTGTACATTGGAATCACCTGGTGAGCTTTGACTCATTCCTCTCAGCCAGGCTATGCCCTAGGCTAAACGACAATCTTTGTGGGTGGGACCCAGGAATCTGTGGTTTCAAAAGCTCCTTGGTGATTCTAGTGTGCAGCCCAGGTGAGAGCCACTGTCCTACCCGGCATGTGCCTCTCTTTCTCTCTCTGAAACAACTGCTTTCTCTTGTGAGTTTTGATTTATTAGTTGGACGGCTGTCATGCTAGAGAATCTCTATTTCAACTCTTGCATCTAAGCTCCAGCCTGTGACCAGCAGCCCCGTTTAGTTAGCTTTTCAGTCGTCAGAGGCACAGGTCTCGGGCTGCCGGGGAGGGTGGTCTTTGAGATCCGCATAGCTCGGCTGTGCCCTGCACTCTGGACAGTTGGCAGAGCTCGGCATGAGGCGGGGTGGGTAGCTGCAGCCCTGGTTCGTGGTGAGATTGCTGGCCGAGGGATCAGGAGGCCTCCCACCAGGCCGCAGCTTGGCTCTAAGCCAGCTCTGGGACCTGGGCCTTCCCCTTTCTGGGCCTCTTTTTTTCTCATTGAAAACAAGGAGGTTGAGCTTGATCAGCATTTCTTTTTTCAAACTCATTCAGCCTCTGGTTTTCACCCCCCAGAAGAAACCTGACATAGGGAACAGACAAAAATGGAGCATGTGGGGATGAAGCCGAGTGGGCAGGGAGGGGCTGGTGCCTGCTGCTCATCTGCACCCCATCCCAGGTAGCCCCAAGGCACCTTCACAGACCCCCATGGTTCTAAAGAACATAACTGGTCCCTTGTATTACACAGCTGGAAATTTAAACTCACGTCTCAGACTGTACCGGCAGTGCCATTCTGGTGGCGGGGGCAAGCCTCTGAGTCTTGAGTCTGGGTTGGGTTCTCAGCCTCTAATGACAGGTCCTGCTAATCTGCTGTGCGTGAGCCCACCGGCAGTGGGAGGAGGTTGCAGGGCTCCTGCATGGGTTGGTTTTCGGCCTTCAGGTCTGCCTTATTTCTAGGATCCCGGTAGCAGGTAGTCGCACCTTTCCTCCGCCTGTCAGCATGTCTTGCTTTAATTCTCAGGGGTTTGTGAGTTACAACATTTCTTTGCTTTGCTCTCGAAGGAAGTGGTTGTTTTGTTTGCTTTTCCCTAATAAAATTACATTTTCCACTTAGTTTCTGCTGGAGATTATATGTATCGAGAACCAAAACAAACTAAAAAAAAAAAATTCTACCAAAAAAAATAAAAACCCAAGTAAATATACCCTTTAGGAACAAATGAGCTAATAACCACTGTTCGCAGCTGTTCAATTGCTCTTTGCAGCCTGTGGGATCCAGGGTGAGTAGGATTGCTATGGGAGCCAGGGATGAAATTGTGCTCTGGGCTGCAGAGGTGATACTAGAAAAATAGCACCTTGCAGAACACTTAACCTTCCTGATGCAATCCAGCCGGAGGTGGACCTGGCCCAGAGCCTGGCCAGATTCATTGCCCTCTCTGAAAACTGGAACACAGAGCCATTCAGACCCCAAGCAAGACTCGTAACAATGATGTGTTTTCCTCTCGTTGTCGGAGAGGTAATAAACCTCGATTTCAAGCACACCACCCTAGCAACGCAGCTCGATGATTGTACTGTGTTTGTGGTTTCTCTGGCAGATGCTCGCTTGTTAATAAATACATTGTGTTTTACACCAATCTTCGTGGTCCATCTCTTTCACCAGAGTTGTTTGATTAAGAGCCCATCAAAGTAGGATCTTGCATGAGGAGCCTGGAACCTTCTTGGCTTAATGGAAACATATAGGCTCTGGGATGGAGGAGATGTCCATTCCTGTCCTGGCTCTGCCACTGATTAGCTGGCTGACCCCGAGCAGATTTCCTAATGTCTCTGTTAGGCAGCCATTCCTTTATCTGTAAAATGAGGTGGTAACATTTATCGACCTCACAGCCTTGTTGCGTGGATTAAATAATAACAGATGTGAAGTTCCCAGTGCAGAGTCTTATAGGGAATGAACATTCCGAAGCGGTGGCCAGCTCAGGGCAGCGTTGGTGTCGGCTGTGGGACCCGTAGTGATGGATGCTCAAAAGTAGGTGGTGGCTTTCCCTCCACTGCTGCCATGGGCAGCTCTGGGGTGGGACTAAAATTTTTTGGTTTGCCAAGCTGAAAGGACCTCCTTTTTGCCACCAAAACAGGACATCACAAACAGGGTTCTGGAATAATATCACTTGTTTCTATTTGTGAGCTCTAAAGTGACAAAGGAAAGTTGCTGTTTGATTCTCCCAGTTCTATGTTCGTTTAAGCAGCTAATAACCAAAAAAGAAATAGTTTTTATGAAGGTTCCCGACAGAGTAGGTAGCACTACGGGTTAGTTTGTGATTGTTAGATGCAGGCAGACCTCATATTCTTGCGCGTTGCTTATTGCACTTCACAGATGTTGCATTTTTTTACAAATTGAAGGCAAGATCCTCCACCAGCAAAAAGATATGACTCACTTCCTGATGAGGCTTGCTTTCTTGCCGTGGTCCGGACTTGAACCCACAATATCTCTGACGTATGCCTGTGAATCAGTTATGATGTCGCTTTACAACCTGTTACATTACACTTTTTCTTTTCTTTCCTTTAGCTCTAAAACAAATCCTGAAGTCCATACTTACCAGGTAAGATACTGCTTTTAAAGGTTTTCATGCAATACTTCTTAAAGTTTCTAAACTTTCCATGTTGAGCAGTCATTACGTTTATAATCAGATTTTAAAGAAATAATACCAATTTTTTTTTTTTTTAAGAAAACAGTAAGAAGAGAGTCTTTCCCCCCCATCCCCCCAACCCCTGCTTCTTCTTGGTCATATGAGCTGCCTATTTTTCTTAACCTTGCCAACTGACAAGCAGTAGGGACATATGTTTAAGTTTCTGGGTGGTCAAACTCAACTTCCTAGGGGCACTCAGGTGAAGAGGCATTTTGTCAAAGTGCATTCTAGGCCCAAGGAACACGAGTCCCTTGACGTGTGCCTCCAGGAAATGATGTCTTGGTCACACGTTTGGGATTTGTTGCACCCTGCATTCCGCCTTCTTGGATCTGACAGTGTGCCCTTTGCGGTGTCACAAGTGCGGAAAAATCCTGCAACAAAAACACATTTTATTTTTTTAAATCCAGTGTTTCCCAGGATCATTTGATTATTGGACACCACCACCACCCCCCAATAAAAAAAAGCTAACCTCTCTCCTCTCCCCCATCCACACCACCCACCCCCGCTCATTTTTGGTAATATACCCGTTAACATCACTGGAAGAGCAGATTTCTAGAATCTACTTTGTGAAGCATTGTTCTAGGCCTATTGCCTGCAGAAGGAGCACAGACAGGTTTCTATGGCTGGTGTCCTCTTTCACAGGATGGCCAACCAGAGCCCTTACGCCCCCAGCCCGCCCACCACTACCTGTGGGTCGCTCTCACTGGCCATTCACAGTCTTCTACAACCTGGCTCCGACTTAAGTTTTCTACACTTATTTCTCACCACTCCTCAACACAACATATATTCAGCTCTCAGGGAATTACGTCATCGTTGCCCCAGAATTTCTTCCCACCATTCTTTTGCCTATACTCGTCTGCCTGGAATTTCTTTGCCTCCTAATCTGTACATTAAGATATCCTTCGGAGCCCTCTCCTCCCCAGAACCTCTTGGATCCCCTTGAATGTAAGTCACCTGCACCAGTGGTTCTCAACCCTGCTGCACATTAAAACCATCTGGCAAACTTTAAAAAAAAATAACCGGTGCGTGGGCCTCACCCTGGACTGATTGAACCAGAAACCCTGGGAGGTGGGATTTCGATATTAGAGAGCTTCACAGCTCCAAAGGTGGTTCTCACGAGCAGCCAGGCGGGGGAACCCTGGATTGATGATGTGTCCCTCGCTTCCTAGGTTGTCATTTGTTTGTGCTTAGAGGCAGCATCCACGTCTGATGACCTTCTAACTTGGGATCAGCTTTCTTGTCCTGGGTGGGTGTGAATGTCCACCGGACACTGCTCTCCCTGGTTTCTGTGTCCTGTCACCAGTCTGGTTTTGAATGTCACAGTAACAAAGCTACTCCATAACGAGTTCACTTTGGAGCCTTATTCTAACTAGTCTCATTCTTGATCTGCAGATATTAATTCTTTAGATAGGGGAGGGACCCCCATATACATTATCTTTACCGGGTGTCCAAATTATGTTTCAGAAGGTTTTTGTGATATCATCTTCTGTACATGCAATCATATTCCTAAGATGCAAAACCTGAACTTGACTTCTGAGTTTTAGGGAAGAACACATAAAATGTGCTTTGCTCCTGGTAGGGAAAAGGCAGTTTCCCCATCTTCTTCTTTAGGTTCTTAAATCTTATTCACGGATTGTTTTTGTTTGTTTGTTTGTTTTTGAGGGATTGTCAGGTGCGAGTGTCTGGAATGTTGAGGGGGACGGGAAGAGTTGTTCATGGGTGATTTACTGCTTGAAGGAGAGAAAAAAATTAAATGAAGCAAAGCAGTCCCAGCTCAGCACGGTCCCTGCCCTCTCCCCACCAGCCTCCTGGGTGAGCTCTTGCTGCAGGCTCTCTCTGCTCAGAAATGAACATCAAGGCAGTCGTTGAAATCAGATCTACAAAAGCTGTTACGTACATGTCGTTGCTCTCCACATCTTTGGGAATCAGTGGTCCTCTGCACCTTGCCAGTCGGAGAGGTTCTGTGTTGTTCTATCAAGGGTTGGGAGTTAATTAACCAGGAAGAGAACGGCCTGAGAAGTGGCCTGATAGGCATCTGAGTGCTGAGAGAGGAGAGAGGTTTTCAAGAGGGCGGGATGGACTTGCAGCATTTATCTTATTCTGAGCTCAGCAAGGTTAGCCAACTGCAAAGGATGGATTGCTGTGTTCCCAGTGAGGACACTGTTGGCGTTTGGGGAGGGAAAGTTCCTAGAGTCCCAGGATGTTTAGCTTCGCTCTTCCCCTGTCCAATAGTTAAAGGTCATTGTGACAAGTGAAAATGCACATATATATTTTCAGTTGTCATCAGGGGGACATAACTGCCTTGATTGAGAACCTTAGTTAACATTAAAAAAAAAAACACTCCTGACAGCTTTAGAGTATCCATCAGGGGGACATAACTGCCTTGATTGAGAACCTTCTGGGTTAACATTAAAAAAAAAAAAACACTCCTTGACAGCTTTAGAGTATCAGTTAAGTCTATGGCCATGCCACCCTGAACAAGCCCAATCCCGTCTGATCTCGGAAGCTAAGCAGGGTCAGGCCTGGTTAGTACTTGGATGGGAGACCACCTAGGAAGACCAGGTGCTGTAGGCATAAAAAATAAGGGATCGTAAGCTGACAAAGTTTTTGCAATCTGTGAGGTCAACCAAGGGTTGCCTCGCCTAAAAAAGTAAAAAATATAAATTAATTTAAAAAAAAATAGACTGTCAGTTAATTGCCAAAGGAGACCAGGAAAGGTTCTAGAATATCCTTCTTCTGGGTCTTTGTGAATAAGGTGCCCACCCTGATTTGAATCTGATTTGGTTATGTTTGAAGACGGGGAGTACAACAGAAGGTCTATTTCTAGTTGTTCACTTTTGTTGAAGACCCAGTTAGTAGACCTCATTTAGGGCCTGGCTGTGTGACTGAAATCCCTGAAAGAGTTCAGCTTTGGGCCAATCATTTAAACACTCTGGGTTTCTGTATCCCTTGAGAGAGAGGGGCAAATGTGAAGAGACGGAATCAGGGAGATTCTAAAGCCCTGGTCAGCTCTCAGATTCTACAACTGAGATATTTTCTCCAGATTCCTTTTTCCTGCAGCATGTCCTTTCGGAGGCTGCAGACTTAGCTTGCTGACAGGCGTCTTTGAAGGAGAGAGGCCTCTGGAATACAGAATAGGCAAGGAAGGCATCTCAGGTCCGTGAAAACTGAATGTACAGAATTGCTGATAATTTTCCATAACGGAGAGCGGCCTTCTGCTTATTAACCAAAGCAGCAAGGAAGGACGAAGAGGGGGAAGAAGTAATTAAAAGAGTAGTGGTGGCAAGACCGTGGTAACGTAAATGTCAGAAGGACCCATTTTGCCAGGTAGGAAGTTTAGCCTTGAGAAAAAAAGCCCAGTGGCTCCTGGCATTGTCTAGGACCACTGCCCCCTGCAGGCCAGAAGTGGATAGACAGCCTGCTCTCCAGCCAGCCCCATCTCGTCGTCACCCCAGGTCATTTTGTGAGTCACCAGTCTGGATCTATTTTCTCATCTTAAAATGGACAAATCTCTTCCTTCCTTCTGTGTTATCAGGATGATAAGTGCTCTGGATGGTTTCGGATCACAATTTAAAGAACTATTTTTATTGCATAAATAAGGGAGAAAGAAAGTGCTCCCACAGCCCTTGGGGTCCCTGTCTCCATGCAGATGTAACTGTCGCCATGGTTGTCGTCATTTTCAGTAGTGACAAAAACTGTTTCTGAAGACATTGCCGACCATTCTCCCTGTCCTTCTGGCAGCTTCCAGTCTGTTCCCTTGGGAGAGATGAATATTACCTGTCCTGGGTGCTCCAGGAGACCCTTGCAATGCTTTCACTTTTCTTCCGAGGGCAACCTTCCCAGCGCCCAGCCTTTGTGGCGGGAAACGCGATCATCCTGGGAAACGTTCCCTCCCACCAGCCAGGGTTCAGTTATAGCCTTTCCATTCATACCCCCATGGGCCCCTCAGGTGGATGCCAGTAAGAGACAAAGTGAATGAAGACCATTGAAATCGAAAGGTCATCGAATAATCAGGTTTGGTATTTTCTTTCTAGCCTCAGTATCTTCCCAATATCCACCCCAGCCAGCCCCGGTGGCACCCTCACTCTCCGAATGTAAGGTAAGTGCTTGAGCTCACAGAGCTGTCCTTTCACAAGTTCTCCTTTTCTCCAGAAAAGTTCAAGTTCTACTTAGTCATGAATTTGAGATCCTGCATCAGCAACAACTGTTAAGAGGTGCCTTGTCATGGCAGAGATTAATCATTTGCAAAGCAAAAGAAGCCAGTGGAGAGTCTGGATTTACTAAAGTTATGCTTTATGACATAAAAATGATTTTTTTTTTTAAGTCATTCTAACCTCAGATATTTTTGGTTTGGTTTTGTGTTAGAAATGTTACTTAAAATTCATAAAGTCATGTTTTCCTGTCCTGGGAATTCATTTACTAAAAAATGTGACTAAAGTTTGGGGATTTTTGTGGTGGGTTTTTTTAAAAGGTTTTTTTTTTGTTGGTTTTTTTTTTTTCAGGGATGGGGTGGGAGTTTGCTTTTGGTGGCAGTAGATCTTTCTCTAAACCCAGGGTCAGTAAACTTTTTTCTGAAATGGGCCATATGGTCAATATTTTCGGCTTCAGCATTGTGGTCTCTGTCACAACTAAACTCTGCCATTGTAGTAACTTGAAAGCAGCCACAGACATACATAAATGAATGGGTGTGGCTATGTTCCAATAAAACTTGTTTACGAAAATAAATGGTAAGTGGGATTTAGCCTGAGGGATGTGTTTACTCGCCTCCACCCTGACTTACCACATAACCCTTCCTAAGTAAACTGGCACCTGCCTTGTGTTTATAGTTTATAGGCTTGGAAGTGTTTTAATGCTAGCTTTGAAAAGGCAAATATTCCTTTTAAGATCAGCTTTAATTGGTGTTTATGTGTACAGCTCTTTCAGAAACATAGTTGGTGAATTCAGTTTGCTTAGTTCTTTCTTGGTGAGGTTGCTAGCCTTGCTCTTTGAGAGAGGACAGTGATGGAAATCAGTCTGGTTAGAGCAAGGCAAACGAGAGCACTTGTTTCTTCATAGGTCTTCCCACGTTGGGGGTGGGGGTGGGGCGGATCCTGTAGGACAACAGAGCAGTTTTATCACAAACACTTGATACTCATGTAACTTTTTAAAGCGAGTTAAAGTAGTACAGTAAGAATTCTAAATGTTTCTGTATTGCCCAAGGCAGTTTATTTTTCCAGACATGAGAAACAGAAGAGATCTATAGCAATGACGTTTTTATTAACCTTGTTTTTACAAAATGTTATACTTCTTACTGCCTAGTTTGTCACATTAGTTTCCTTCTGAGGCATGCCCTCGCCCAGTATTTCACACCAGGAATTCTGAGGAAGGTTCCTGTCAGGTGGCCCACCTACCTGGCCCTAGTACCGTCAATCCCCTGAGAGCTTGTGAATGCAGATTCTCGGCTCCACCCCAGACCTATTGGATCAGAATCTCTGGCAGTGGGGCCTAGCATTTTATGTTAAGAGAAGTGCCGTACGAGATGCCTGCCCCAAGAAAAAGCTTGTTGGTCCAACGCTTTTGGCAAATACTTCATAAGCATTCATAGAGAACATTAGCATAACAGCCCTGAGAGATCCCCTGGTAAAGGACCCTTTTTACCTTCACCTAGCTTTCCCCAGGCTGACCCGATCATCAGACACCCTTTGAGGGATGACAGCACAACCAGAGACAGAGCTTTCGTCCACTTGGCAGTTAATAGATGACCCACATCCGAATTTAAAAAATAAAGTAGACAATCCATTCATTTCAGTTTGCAGGCCATCCGCATTCACGTGGTTCATGGTTTTCCCTGCCCCTTCCCTTTGTGCTTATGTTGTTTCACTCACATTTCTGAATTTTCTTTCATTCCCCCACTAACCATTCACTCTGCAAACAAAACAGGCCATCCTTTCAGGATGACAGGCCTCACTGGAAAGCGTCGGCCAGTGGAGATGACAGCCATGTCGATTATGTCCACAACCAGAACCAGAAGAACTTAGGAGGAGTGCAGAGTATGATGTATCGAGATAAGCTCATGACCGCGCTTTGAGAGACTGAAGCATCTCACTTCCATTCACCATCACAGTTTCATTACATTCCATGAAAAGTGCCTTGGCATCACACGGATGTGTTTGTAAAAGTGTCTTTAAGGAATAGTTCTGAAAGGTGTTTTCGGTGTCCGTGTACGTGTTTGAAAATAATCACGATAGCTAGTCATAATTTACTGTTGACTGCATTCTCAATAAAATGAAGGTAGGTAAAGGCTCAGGAATCATTCTGATTTTAAAATTAGAGTAAAAATCTGTGTTTATTGTTATTTCTATATACCTGATATTTCTTTGTTATTTAATGAATGAGACCAAATAAAACCAGAAAAACCTGGGAAGATAGCTCTGCAGAGAAATACCAAGAATATGGGGGACTGGAGATAGCTGGGGTCCAGCCTGTGTCTTTTGTGATTTTAGACAAGGCATTCCCCTTGGTTGGCCTCACTTTCCTCATCTGAAAAGAGTGGGTTGGGCTAAATGTTCATCAAGGTCTTTCCCAACTCTAAAATTCAGTCATTTGTTAAAAATTTAACATTTTTAGGCTGAGAATATAACATTTAAAATATAGGGAAACTGCAATGTCCCCTTCTCTAAGAGAGGTTACCCCCTTCAGAAGCTAAATAAAGTGTATAACTGTTAGATGTTATATAATGCAGGGAGACTTTGAATTTCCAATCTTAAAACAGTTTAGCCACTTTGAATTTTAGAGATTTTGCTAATCATAAATTGCATAGCATTGTTTTGATAGAATTTGCTGCTCGAAGACAAGAATAATGTTTTAATATCTTGATTGGTGCTGCTAATAACTTGCATGATTTCAGACAGCATAATTATGGATATACACTGTCAGAATTTGTAGAATCGGAGGGTTAGTTTTTACCCTGGACTTCACTCTTTTAAAAAGCAACATGCAATCCGAGATGCATTTATGGCTCACGTTAAAGCATACAAGATTTTAGTAAAGTTGTGCCAAAGCGTTCTGTAGACTTGGATAGGATAAGTGTTGCACAGTCTTTTTGTAGAACCAGAGATTAATATGTTGTCTCTTAGGGTAGAACTCATGCCAAAATATTTATTCTTATCCCACTACCCCCCATTTCAAGCCATGAGTCAAACATTTTTCTCTTGAAAGGCCTGAGATATTTTTATTAATATTTTTGTGAAATAAATTCTCATGCCGCCTTTATATATCTAATTGTACTTCAGCCCATTTTAAGCCTTTAAAATATGTATATTGACATCTCTTGAGATATTTTATTACTGAAACCTGATCTGTTTTTCGTTACCACAAAAATCTATCCAGAAAGAGAGAATCCTCTTCATGCCTTGCACAGCGGAGTCTCTTATCACTTATAAACTGTCCCGAAGATTTTTGTTTACAGGTGTATTCCATTTTAGCGGATGTGCTGATCCTCAGTGTATGTGCTACATACAAATAAATGTGTTCTGAATCTTTTAATCTTATTGATACATTTTTACAACTGTGTTTCCAAGGAATAAAGATTATTCTTACTTTTTTTGACTCCATCTTCATTTTTATGCTGCGCAGAAGTATCATTTTGTGGATGACGTAAGGTGATGTGACAGTGAGCTTTGGGAAGTCTGAAGGTGAGCGTTTAGTTAGGCATGGAGCAAGCTCGTCCTAGAATGGAGCTGCTCTTGGATAGAGTGGCTCTGTTTGTAGGTACTGGCTGAGGCATTTATTCATTTGGAACGACTCTGCTGAACATTCTAGTACCTGGTCACAGGTGGCAGTGGGGTTTTCTCCCCTTTAACAGTTCTGTGGTGCGGGTGGGTGTTTATCCTGGCTACAACTGCTTTTCCTGGTGGAAAGACCCCCAAACCTGTATCTTCGGCCTCCTAGAGATTGTGTACTCTAACACCCTCCAATAAATACCTTTGTGCTTAATACAACTTGAGTGGATTCAGATGTCTGCAACCAAGAAGTCTAACCAGTTTGCATATTTATGGCCTTCTAATTGTTCAATTACACGTACACTTTTCATTCTTCAGTTTAATGGATGACCTCTCTCTACTGCATTTGACAGTAATGATCACCCACAGCTTCTGGGAACTTTGTTCCCTTGGCTTCTGTGATATCTGATTCTCCAGCCCTTTGACTTCTTCTTCAGTCTGGGTAACAGCCCCTGCTTCTGTCATCGTATGAAATATTGCTGTTTTCCAGGAGTCCTTCCTCTGCCCACTGCCGTTCTCACTTACCACAGTCTGCCTGGATCTTCTCATCCCGTCATGATTTGATAGTGCTGTGGCACTGCAGCCATGATCTCTAACTCGGACTACTATGAGTTTTAAACTGACATTTCAACTTGTATGTTCCACGTACACCTCAAACTCCACATGTCAAAAATGAAAATCCCTCTTCTTTTACTGAAAGGAAATTTAAAAAAAAAAAGTCCAAATTCTCTGTTTTCTGCCCATGGTAAGAATTTATGCATCGTCGACATCTCCCTGTTGCCGTCCATATCCGCGCAGTCCCTGGATCTGTTCCACTCAGCCTCCTTAGAGTTTGTGTTTAACCTTCCTCTCTCCTAACACTGTCCTTGAAGCAGCATCTTTTCTCTGGCTGAGAGGTGCTCTTATGAGCTCCCTGACTCCAGTCTCTCCCGACAAGTTCATTCTCACAGCCACTAGAGTTGTTTTTCTAAAACACCATCTGACTGTGTCATTCTGATGCGTGACATCTGCCAGGGTTTTCCATCACCCGTCGGATGAAGTCCAAGTCCTTCTCTGTGGAGTTCCTCCACTCTGCTTCTGTCTCGTGGCTCTGGCTAGCATCTTTTCCCATCTCTCGCTTTCCTGTTTAAACTCCTACAACATCCCACGGCTTGTAGTTCCTGATAGCCCCCCTACCCTGCTGTTTCTCCCATCTGCGCCTTTGCAAATACTGTTCCTTCTGCCGAGAATGCTGTCACTCCCATCCCCCTTGCCCAAACTCCCGCTCACGCCTTAAGACTCTACTCAGACTCCGTCTTCTCCCAGGGACTCTGATCGCCCTACCTCTGCAATTGGGCTA